CCCAGGAGCAGTCAGCAACAGCAGCAGCCTCCAGCATGGGCTGCAGACTGGGAGCCAGGACCCCCTTTTCCATGGGCAAGGGAGCAGTGCATCCAAGTGCGATGCCCTTCGCTCGAGGAAGCGACTACTCGGCTGCAAGTTGGGCTTCCTAATGCCTGGAAACAGACTCCTGAATAGAAAAACCCCTAAAACGAAGGAGCAAAGGGGTCATAGCTGAGCAGGAGCATCCCATAGGATGCTGCGCATGGACGCAGAAGGTCTGGCCAGGCTGGAGCCCGGAGGATACCTGGAGCAGCAGGGTGCACAGGGCCAGGGTTGTGCTGGGACAGCCCCGCTCCCAGTAACGCCCACGGGCAGCCTGCCCTGCCGTGAACCCGCCAGGCCCGGCCACGTGGAACCAAGTCCCATGTGCTCCGTGTGCCCAAAGCCCCTGTGCGTGGCTTCCCCCGGCTCCAGGGGCCTCCGCAGGGAAAAAGCACATGTCAGAGGCCACATCCTCAACCCCACCACGCTGATAACGCTGCCCCCCTGTTTTCCTTGGGGCCAGGACACTCTGGCACAGTTCCTTGCAGCTCCGAGGCACCACAGACCCGGTGTCCGAGCAGAGGGCTGGGAGCAGCAAGGCAGCTGCAAATCTGTGCTGTTTCTCCTGGAAACGTTAACCCTGGACACCTTCCGTAGCCACCGGCCAGGAAAGGACGGAGACGCCAGGACACCAGGGCTCCGCCAGCTCCTTACACCCCTCCAGCCCTGGGGGGCCGCTCGTCGCTGGAGTCGGGAAGGCCGTTCCCATGGACATGGGAGCAGCGGCATCATGTAGCAAACGGGGGGCAGTTCCCCCTGCCAGTCTCCGTGTGCCGCGTTTAAGCAGTGGGTTGAAGACAAGGAAAGCTTCTCCCAACCTTCCCAGGGCAGAGGCAGGAGACCCCACAGGAGGGCCCTGCAGGGCACTCATCTCCCGCAGATGGGTGGGCAAGAAGGCGATTGCTGACAAAATAAACCCTGGAGATCCCTGAGCAAAGTCCAGACCTCAGCCATGAGCAAACCACATCCTCGCTACAGCCCCCAGCCAGAGCAGCCACCGCCAGGGCTCTCCCCAAGGCGGCAGGACCGCTCGGGCAGGAACCGCCGCGTCCCGGCGCGGTGTGGCGGGTTCCTCCCAAGGCACAAGAAGAGTCATCAGCCACATGTAAAGCCGTAGCAGGAAAAAAGCGATGGAAGAAAGTGATGGAGGAGAGAAACAGATACAGTTTGCAAACAGCAACAGCATGGAAGACTGAAGGAAAAAGAAAGGCTTGGAAAAGCACTGGAAAGGCCAGTGTGGCCAGTAGAGCAGCTCTCTGCAGGTACCTGGGCTGCAGTCGTTCGCTCCTGCTCACAGCTCCTGCAGCGGCACCTCTACCAGCACCTCGATCTCGCAAAACCCGCGCGCGGGTGACTCCGTGCAAGGAGCGGGTGCTCCGGGAGCCCGGATTTAACGGGATCGCGGTCCCTCCCACCGGGGCCGTCCCCCCCGCGCAGGGTGCGGCCGCGCTCAGCCAGGTGCGGCGGGACAAGGAAAAGCGGCCGCGCCGGGGGGACGGCCCCGCGGAGGCAGGAGAGGCTCCTGCGGCTCCCGCCGCCTCCGGCACGCGGGCTGGGACTCCAATATCCTCCTAGGGAAGACGCGGGAGACGGGAGCGCTTGCGGTCACCCCAGGACACCGGGTAGATCTGCTGTCCTCGGTCAAGAGGAGCATCTCGAGGTTCCAGCCTGGCCCTTCTTCATCACCTCTGCGATGAAGGTGGCGGCCGTGAGGATGGCCGAACTGAGAGCAAAGGGTAAAAACAACCTCCCATCACATCAAGTCAAAGGGCAGCAGTAAATGCCTGGGGCTGCACAGGCCAGGCTGGAGAGGAGCAGGTTTATCCCCACCTGGGGGACAGTCCTGTGACTTGGGCGTTATAGGGAGCAAATAAAAACTTTAAGGTAACTGTGTCTCTAACACCTGCTTGCACAGAGTCCAGCCCAGAGCAGCCTGCCTGGCTCCTGCATGTAGCACTGCTGCAATGGAAGATAAGGAATCCCCAAGCCAGTCTTCGGATCCCTGTGCACTCTTCCTCAAGGATTTCTTTCCAGGTTGAGCAGGCAGAGCCACATCCTCCTTCAAAAACCATACATCTGAAATACCCTTCCTTCAGGGAGCTGCCTACTCTGCTGCCCAGAATTGCTTTTGGTTTACTACAACATTGCTCCACTGTTAAGCGTCTCTTTGAAATGTCCGATTTTATCAGGAAATCCACCCCATAAACTGCCTTCCTCGCAACACCTTGATCTCCCTTTACAATCTCCCCGATGTCGTATTTACCGTGAGCCGTTGGGTGTTTCACCTTCCTTCACATCCCTAGGTAAACAGTGTTGCACCACAGATGCTCAATGGGTCATAACTGTCACCACAGCCCCTTGTCTTCTGCAGCAGCCACAGGGTCACTACATTAGTGAGGAACCTCCAACACCATCTAATCCTTGGGTTGGCAAAACTCAGTGCTCAAGGAGCAGTATTTATAAGCAGCTGGAGGACAGTCGTTACCACTGCTGCAAGCACATCAGCACTAGGTGCATCCAGCTGAAGCGAGGGGCTAGGAGACTTTCTGGGTAATGACTTGGGTTAGGTCTCAAGCTGAGTGGTTTATTCAGTGCTGTTGTTCAGGAGTTTGCACCTAGTTTCATCCCAGGGGTCTTGGGGCTAGGAGCTGCTTCATGCCTGGTTTGAAAGCAGGGGGCAATCAGACCAAACAGGGCAGCCATCCAGGCTGGCATCGCAAACCAGGGCAGCTGCCATCACCCTGCCACCTATTTCTCAGCAATAAATAAATAAATGCAAAGATGTTTGATGTTCTCTTAACACCCTGTCTGGTTTGCTCACGGCTTTAAGTGGCCTCTCTGTCCCAGAGCGATGCAATTCTTTTTCAGTGGGTATTGAATTGTTACTGCTATTGGCACTTTTACAGCCAAACTGAAATCCTGGGTTGCTTTTCCTCTGTTGCTTTCAGTCCGCAGCAGAGGCACTCGCGACTCGCTGCTTTTCCGTTTCCATTGTGTAAGGCGCTCCGAGATGTCCTGGAGGGGCCAGTTGCTATAGAGAAAGGCTTGTTTGCTGCCGTCCTTCCAACTCCTCCCTGGGCTCCGCAGCAAACACAGACACAGCGATGCTGCAAGACCCTCAGGAAAAAGAAAAAAAGAAACATTTTCCTTTGGCTTCGACTGTGCTGGTTTTGCAGCGAAGCCAAGACATTCGGTGGCTCTTTCGCCAAGTCATTAGCTCTTCTTTGGACTCTTGAGTGTGTGGGGAAGATTAACAGGAAAAAGTGAATGAGGTGGACGGAGGGCTTGTCACCACACCAGGATATTTTACGCCAGCCTTGATGTGTCACTGAACACTCCTTTTGCTGCACAGGTGTAAGAACGGGTTTGTATTAGGACAGGCTTGTATTAGGACATTTTTATCCTTATTTCGACCCGGGTTATGCGGATCTCACTTGAGATGATTGCTATTCAAAGCAGGGATGGTGATGGAGAAGCACATGCCAATCTGCGCGTGTCCTTACGTGGAAAATCCTGCTGGGTCCATTTCGATGTTCCCACCTCCAGGGTCCCAAGCAACACAGTTTTATATACACGGATGTGGAATCAGGAGGAGCAGGAGATGGCACTGGGACCTCTCTGTCTCTATCTCTCTACAGGGACGGGCGCAGCCTCAGAACAGGATCGCTGGCCACGCAGAGAGGGGCCAGAAGTGCAAAGGCTTCTTTGCAGAGGAGCCC